AAAACTAAAAACTGTGGACTACAGTCTCACGCTCCTTCACAGGCTGCGGGACAGCAGATAGTCCAACTATTTGTTTGTTTAAGAAAAATTAAAAGGAAGGAAGAAGTAGAGTGTTGAATACAATATCCAGACTAACTTACCTTTCTTTCCGCTAATTATTGATTCTGGTGGCCTGCGCTTCCTCTTTCCGTCGATTTATAATTACTTATTTTTTTATTTATTTATTTGTTATTTGTTATTTTATAATAATTTAAATTCCTTTTTCAATAAGTTTTATGTCTTCTTATTTTATGTTACGAGTATACATATAAAAGGAAACAGAAAAGGAAAAAAAAAAAAAAGACGGAACGTCTGGTTAATCTTATAAAATTAGTTATTACGTCTGCACTTGATGAGCGGCAGCGGGCCCACCGCTGCTATTTCTGCTCAGTGGTGGAACCGTTGTTGTTACGTTTGGATTTGCGGATGATTAGGTACTTGTTTGTTTTACTTAGCTGGTATATATTATGGTTTTGTTGAGTCCACTTGGTACAGGGGTACAGGTGAAAACCTTTTTGTTGAATTAGTATGGGTGGGTGGGGAGGATGGATCGTGAAAAGTAAATAATTTTACATGCAGAATGTGTCGGGTTTAAACGTTATTGAGGTTTTTGGAGCTTGGGGCAGAAGAAAAGTGCCACCCAAATCTTTTTTTTTTACTTATTTTCTGGTCGGTGGGGAGGATGGATCGCGAAAAGTAAATGTTTTTACATGTAGAATGTGTGGGGTTTAAAAGTTATTGAGGTTTTTGGAGCTTGGGGCAGAAGAAAAGTGCCACCCAAATCTTTTTTTTTTACTTATTTTCTGGTTGAAATTAATTTTTTAGGAGATTATCAAAAAATCTAAAATGTAACTCGTGTTTTTTGGAATAAGATAATTACGTTTGACTAAAGTTTCGATTATACAGATTGCCCATTCACACTGATTTTTTGTTGAATATTTACTTTTTATACGTCTCAAAACATAAAAAATAAAAAACCAAAATCCTTGAAAATGTATGAATATTAGCTAGGAATTTGTTACTCTACTTTTATAAGTATGCTATGAGCTCTGAGTACTTAAAACGTTAAACACAGGATACAATAAATAGGTTAAGCGTAAGCATATTCTCATGTACCGCGTTGTATTGATTTTCCAAGCCTTATAATTTATTAATTTTAGTTTCAGGGAATCAAAATTTCTTCACGAATTTTTACATCCAATATTCATCTTTGCATTATTTGCTTTCCAAAATCGAATAATTTATTCACGCATTGAAAATTGTTATGAATAATAAATAATTACTATCTAATAATGAAAGACCTTAGAAGAAAACATTCCTAGTATAAAATACTTAAAGGTTAACAATGAGGTTCAAGTAGTGGGATGAATTTATTTAGAAGGTAATGCTTAAACAATATTTTTTAAGTAATATAAAACTCAAGTATTTATAGCTTGACTTAACATCGTTTTACCACGCTCTTAAAAATGTGTGACGTATGTGACACGCCGAAGAGCAAATATGAATTACTCATGCAGTTGTAGTCCTACAGTTGTTCAAGCAACTTTGTTGATTTGTTATATTGTTTGTAAAGCAATAAAAATAAAAAAATAAAATTATTAATCAACGTGGTATTACTTTGGGGGGTTGAAATATTTTCACACAGTACATTATGATTGTGGTAAACAATTTTCCAACAAAGCTCGAAGTATTTAACTAACATTTTTTTTACCTGGCAAAAACTATCTCTGTGCTTTCATTATCTCTTTTTCAATGGAACTGTCAAATGCGGTATTAAAACTCTTGGTATGATAATTTTTGACATAAACACACTTGATATTCGTGTGATTGGTAGGTGAGCATACTAAAATGCTAATAAGATATAAATATTATTAGATATTACAAGGTAACAATATTCATTTGCCAGTTTCTTCATTTTATTCGAAAAATAATAAAAATGTCCATTGATAGAGGCAACTTTTTATCTGGTTATGGTGCCTCAGAAGTTTAAGTCCAATAATCTCCTGTTGCGGATGGTATCTTTTTAATGTCCTCAACTAAGTATGCTCTTCTGCTGATAAGAGAAAGTACGATTTATATGTTGGTAAATAATAAAACGGTATTTTATTGAATCGTCGATCGTTTGCTAAAGAGTCAGTTGCATCTCTTCAGAAACACATTTATTACCAATATTCTCTAAATAAATCCTATCGTATTCTTCCGTACCAACATTTTTAAAACTTCTTCCTCTTACTTGCTATGGGGCCGGTACTTGTTGACTTCATGTGTTTAGGCTTCATGGCTCGCTTCGGTTGTCACTTGACACTTCCAAGAGCCACAAAGTACACAGTAAGCTTTGTTAGGCAATGACTCTCGTTGAGTATAACTCTGTTAAGAGTCTCAAAATTTTATCATTGGGAATGAAATATTACAGGATAAAATAAAATAAAAATGAAAATTTATTAATTTACGCAAGTCGTCACCTAACAGTTAATGCTATCATCATTATTATTTTACTTATTTTTGTTATCACTGTCATTATCATCGTTAACATCATGATTGTTAATGTTATTGTTATAGTACTCATCATCGTCATCATTATCATCATAATAATCATCATCAATGTCATAATTAATAGTGTCATTGTCGACATGACCCTTATTGTAATCATATTTATTGTTTAATGACCATTGTAAGTCTTATCGTCATAATAATCATTGTCAATGATCACAATATTAGCCAATCACCATTATCAGCAGTGTTATTATTATAATAATCATTATCATTTGTATCGCGATGATTTCTATTGTAATAGGTAGCACTATAATCAGTGTTACTCTGAATTCTATTACCACTATTAATATTATTGTTATTGTATTTGTTGAAAAAAATCAGTATTATTAAAATACTATTATTATTAGTATTATAATTAATATTGATAATTCTGATATTATTGTTATTATTATTAAAATTATTGTCATTATCATTTTCAT